GACTGGTGTCGGGGGGGGGGGGGCAGGGGCATGTGCCCCCCCTGACTCAAATGGCACCAGTCACCCATGCCCTCCATACCGCTAATCATCTTTGTTGCCTTTCTCCATATCCTCTCTAGTTCTTCTATATCCTTTTTGAGGTGTGGGGTACAGAACTGGGCATAGTATTCAAGGTGTGGATGTACCATGGATTCATAAAGGGGCGTAAATCCTTTTTTGTTTACAGTTCCCTTCTTAATAATTCCTAATAGTTTGTTTGCCTTTTTGATGGCTGCTGAGCACTGAGCTGATGTTTTTAGCAAACTGTCCACAATGACTCCTAGATCTCTTTCCTATATGGTATCAGCTAAGGCAGAGCCCATCATGGTGTAGGTATAGTTCGGGTTATTTTTGCCCAGGTGCATAACTGTACACTTATCTACACTGAATTGCATCTGCCACTTAGTTGCCCATTTGCTCAATCATGACAGAACCTTCTGTAGTTCCTCACAGTCCACCTTGGTCTTTACTACTTTGAATAACTTTGTGTCATCGGCAAATTTGACCACCTTGTTAGATCATTTTCCAGATCATTTATGAATATGGTAAACAGCACTGGCCCCAACACAAATCCCTGGGGGACCCTTCTGTTTACTTCTTTCCATCCTAAAAACTGACCATTTATACTCAGTCTTTGCTTTCTATCTTGGAGCCGATTTCTAGTCCACAAGTGAATGTTCCCTGCAATCCTATTACTGTCTAACTTAGTTAAGAACTTTTGATGTTGGATTGTATCAAAGGCTTTTCTGGCAGTCCAAATATACAGCATCAACCGGATTGGCCCGATCCACCTGCTTATTGGCACTCTCAAAGAATTCAAGTAGGTTGGTGAAGCACAATTTCCCTTTGACAAAGCCACGTTGATTCCTCCCCGGTAACTCATGTTCATCTACCGGCCAAATAATCCTTTTCTTTATTATTGTTTCCACCAATTTTCCAGGAACAGAAATTAGATTCACTGGCCTATAGTTCTCTGAATCCCCTTTAGAGCCTTTTTTAAATATGGGAGTCACACTGGCAGCCCTCCAGTCTTCTGGTACCGAGGCTATTTTTAGTGATAGGTTGCATACTACAGTTAGGAGATTTGCAATTTCTGATCTGAACTCCTTTAGGATCCTAGGGTGAATGCCATCAAGTCCTGGTGATTTGCCACTGTTTAGTTTATCAATTTCCTCTATGACCTCATCTATTGAAACCTCAATTTGGGTCAGCGCCACTGACTTGTCCCTAGAGAGGAGTGGATCTGGTGATGGAATTTTCCTAACATCTTCCACAGTGAGGACAGGTGCAAAGAATGCATTTAGTTTCTTGGCTAATGGCCCTGTCATCCTTTAATGCCCCTTTTACCCCCTGGTCATCCAAAGGCTCAGCTGACTCCCTGGCAGGTGTTCAGCTTCTAATTTACTTAAAGACATTTTTATTGTTCCCTTTTGTGTCACTAGCAAGTCTATTAGCTTGTCTTATTACAGTTTTACATTTGCTTTGTCACTGTTTATGTTCTCTTTTTATTTTCTTCATTAGAATTTGACTTCCACATTTTGAAAAAAGCCTTTTTTTTCTGCTGCTTGCCTCTGCAACTCTGCCATTAAAGTGTACTGGCTTTCTTTTGGTCCATTTTCCTTTTTTTTTTTTTTGATTTGCGGTATGCATTTTCTTTGTGCCTCCAGTATGGTGTTCTTAAGTAGTACCTATGCTGCCTGAAAGTTCCTTACCTCTTTAGGGGCTCCTTTTAACTTCCTCATTTTGGTGTTGTCTCCCTTTTTAAAGTTAAAGGTTACCCTTGTAGATTTTCTTGTCTCCCCTCCTACATGGATGTCAAAACCACTGTATTGTGGCCATTATTGCCAAGTGGCTCAGTAACAGTTACCCTTTGCACCAAATCCTGTACACTGCTTTGGATTAGGTCAAGAATGCCCTTTCCTCTCATAGGTTCCAAGAGTAACTGCTCTAGGAAGCAGTCTTTTATAAAGTCCAGAAATGTGGTCTGTGCATCCTGACCTGATGTTAGATTGACCCAGTCTATTTGTGGATAGTTGAAGTCCCTCATTATTACGTTTTCTGCTGTCACAGCCTCTCTCAACTCCATTAGCATTTCTAGTTCTCTGCTGCTGTCCTAGCTGGGGGGGTCAATGGTATATCCCTAGATGTAGCTTTTTTTTCTATTGAAACCTGGGATTTTTATCCACAAGATTCTATGGAACCTCTCTTATCAGTTGAAAAATCTAACCTATTTGATTCAATAGTCTTTGATGCCACTCCCCCACCAGTACAACCTACTCAGTATAATTTGGATTCTGGTATTACAGCATCCCATTGATTTTCCTTGTTCCACTGTGTTTCAGAGACACCTGTTACATCAATAACACCTTTTGCTGTATTCAAGTTCCCCCACCTTTGATCTTAGACTTCTAGCATTAGTATAAAAGCAGGTGTACACTTTATTGTTGCCTAGTTGGTTACTTGTATGTGACCTTTTATTTACTAAAGGTATTTGCTTGTTCTTGCCTTCACCCTGTTTCTTATCCCCATCTGAACTGTGTGCTGTTCTGCAACTGTCAGCTTTACCCGTTTTTAGTTTAAAAGCTGGTCTACCACCTTTTTAATATTATGTGCCAGCATTCTGGTACCATTTTGGTTCATCCCTCTGTACAAGCTCTTCCCTGTTCCAAAAGGTCCTCCAGTTCCTATTAAACCTAAACTCTTCCTCCATACACCCTCGTCTCAGCCATGCATTAAGACTCTGAAGCTTTGCCTGTCTACCTGGCCTGTGCTACTGTAGAGATCCTGGACTTCAGCCTCCTCCCTAGCAGCCTAAATCTAGCTTCTAGGACCTCCTTGCTATCCTTACCTATGTCTCTGGTACCCACATGGACCACAACCTCCAACTCCTTCCCAACCCTTCCTAACAGCCTATCTACACATCTCGGTGGTCTGCTACCTTTGCATCTGGGCAGGCAAGTCACCATGCAGTCCTCTCAGATGTCAGACCCAGCCAACCGTGTCTCTAATAATCGAATTGCCCACAACCACCACCTGCCTCCTTCTATCCTTTGGGGTTCCCTCCCTCGGAGGAGTACTGTATCCTTGGTGCAAGAGGATGCTGTAACATCAGGTGGAAGGTGGGTCCCATCTAAGGATTAATTTACTTCTTTCCCAGCTTGATGTCCTCCATCCCCGAGGTTCTCATTCTCCTTAGCAGCATAGGAGTTGCTACTGTGGAGGTAGTACTGCCCTTCAGTGTCCCTGAAAGCCTCATCTATGAGCCTCTCTGCCTCCTATAGCTGTTTTAGTTCTGCCACCTTAACCCTGCGAAAATGCACTTGGTCTCTCAGAGCCAGGAGTTCTTTGCACCAGATGTACACATATGAAAGCTGCCCCTGGGGCAGGTGATCATACATTCTGCACCCAGTGCAATAAACTGGGTAGCCTCCATCTTGTCACTAGACTTCTACCTGCATATTTTTAGAAGTGTTAAAACTGAGTTTCTTCTTTTAAGACAGTTTTAATTTATGGGTCCCCTTAGACTAGAAACTTTGAATTTACAGATTGACTTTCTGTTTAGCCATACTCTGCCCTAATTACAGCTAATAATTAAAAAAAGGGACTTAAGTATTGGTCTCACTGTTGAGTTTCAGCTACTTCTGCTAAATATCTAGGTTACCACTTTCAGCAGGTATCTAGGATAGTTACTCTTAATTAAAGAAAGAACTTACCTTAAAAGCTCCCCTTCAGAGAGGTGATATCCTGAATGATGGCGTTTTAGGCAGTTTGAATCTGGCTTTTCCAGTGGGGACATGACTGTTAGCAGCCTCTCCTCTTGCCCATTTTCCAGACATTTCAGAAGCACAGAAACGTAAGTCTTATTCCCCCACACACTGAGCATCTGTAGGCACTCTAACCATAGGCACGCCCCCAAAAAGCTGCATTTAAGGGCTGGACAGATGAATGATTATACTATGGGGACTTACTGCTCATTAGTGAATCTGTAACTGTTGTCTGTTTCTGTCACACAGTAAGTAAATCTAAACTGTGGTGATTCACCCTATTGCTTTTAACTTCCATTTACCCCAAGATAGGAGTGAACAGATAAAACAGTTATAGCAGATGCAGCTGATTTGTAGTAAGTCTTCCTATCTTAAAATGGTTGCATTTTCCTCCCCTGCCTTCACCTGCTTCTTCTCCAAGTATGTTAGGACCAGTCTGTTGGATGAGCTTCTTCCTTTAGGAAGAGCTGGTTGGTTTTCCCTCGGGCTTGAAATATTGAGCATGAGATTTAGACTTTCACTTGGGTGAGGTAAGCTGAACAGGTGAGGTGATACCAACAGAGAAGGGCCAGAGCTCCTGACCATTGTAGATGTATCTTAGTTGCTGATAAGCAGCTCCTTGTTTCTCCATCATGACTCTTAGTAAGAGCAAAGGCCAAGTCTTGGCTTCTCTCTCTTCGCTTGGTGTGGCTAGCGTCAGTGTGACATAGAGCAGACTGAGTTCAGACCACATTGTTTGCTCCTCTTCTACTGCAGCTGATGACAGAGTTCCTGTGTGGCATGCGAGTGATCAAGTTCTACACTTGGGAGCGGCATTTTGGTGCCCGTGTGAACTTTTGCCGGGCCAAGGAGCTACAGAAGCTGCGAGCTATCAAGTACCTGGATGCTGTGTGTGTGTACCTGTGGGCTGCACTCCCAGTGGTTGTCTCCATTGTCATCTTCATCACCTATGTTCTGCTCGGGCACCAGCTCACTGCCACCAAGGTAATAATGGGGGAGACCCTGAGCAGTATCACTGCTCAGCTTGGACTGCTGTGACCAGAATGGTTTTACAGAACCACTTTCAGCAGGTAACTGAGTGACAGTGCAGCACTTCTACTCCTCCCACCTGTGGAGTTAAGGGGAGATCTCCCCTGTGAATAGAGCTGAGCCCATCATGTGGGGTGCAGCCATGGCTACCCTGGCAACAGAGGGTGATACCTTTCTGAGGGTGGTATCACAAACCTGCAAGGGTATGTTCTAGTCCCTATTGCAGGTCCTTGACTGGGAAATTCTTCTGTGTACGTGGCATGCTAAAGCGTCACTCTCACCTGGTTCCTTGTCCTCTCTCACACAGGTGTTCACAGCCTTAGCACTTGTCGGGATGCTTATTCTCCCCCTCAACAACTTCCCATGGGTGCTGAATGGAATCTTGGAAGCCAAAGTATCCCTGGATCGAATCCAGCGCTTCTTGGAGCTCTCGGACCAGGACTTGGAGGCCTATTACTCACTGGGTATATGGCTGTGGGCTGGGACCCAGGCAGAACAGGCACCACTAACTTTTGGGTGAAACCTGCCACATGGAGTTGGGA